CAGGGACCGGGCGGGGCGGGGCTCATTCTGCAAAGTTGACCCAGGGCAGGCTACCGCTGGCGCCCTGCTGCCCCAGATTCGCTCGGTTCTTACCGCGAAGCCAGGAGTGGACGTCGCCGCCCAGCTGACACCCGAGGGACCAGAAGAAGCTAGCGGGCGTCGGCGGGAGTCCGCGCCCAGAGATGGAGGCTGCAAGAGGGGACGTGCAAGTCGGCTCCGAGTAGCCCGCGGGCTCCGGGGCTGGACCTTGCCCGGATGCTGTTGAGGGCGCGCGAGCAGGTCTCTCCCCAGAGCTGCCATGGAGGTGCCCAATGTCAAGGATTTTCAGTGGAAGCGCCTTGCTCCACTGCCTAGCCGCCGGGTCTACTGCTCACTGCTGGAGACCGGAGGGCAGGTCTATGCCATCGGGGGATGTGATGACAATGGCGTTCCCATGGACTGCTTCGAGGTCTACTCCCCCGAGGCCGACCAATGGACCTCTCTGCCCTCCCTGCCCACAGCCAGGGCCGGGGTAGCTGTTACTGCCCTCGGAAAGCGAATTATGGTGATCGGGGGTGTGGGCACCAATCAACTGCCTCTGAAGGTCGTGGAAATGTACAATATCGATGAGGGCAAGTGGAAGAAGAGAAGCGTGCTGCGTGAGGCTGCCATGGGCATTTCTGTTACAGCCAAAGGCAAGTGGGGCCAGGGTTGAGGGTGGGCATAGAGAAGAAAGTAAAGGGTCACGGGGAAACGGTTGGAATGTAACATGATTTGGGGGGCCAATAGCACATCAGCCATCGCATTTGAGCCTTACATTAAGCACTGACACTAGAAACCCACTGCCCTTATTTTACAGATTGGGAAGGGAGGGTGAGCAGGTGAAATGTCTAGGAATTCCATCCAATGCCAGGAGTCAGCTCCAGCGGGTTCCTCCTGGCAAGCTGGGCAGGCTGCTGCAGAGGGAGAGCCAAGGTGTGAGCTATGGGGTTATCCGGAATGACTCTGCAGACCCTGGCGTTCAGCCGAGAGACCACATTCGCAACTGGCCACACACACACCCAGACCTATCTATGTAGTTCCTGAGGCTGCTCATCCCATCCTTCAACCCACACCAGGTCATCTGCCAAGGAGGCTTTGGGACCCAGATCCCAGGATCTTCTGTAACTCCTGACTGCAGTTTCAGTCATACTAAGCGGAGGTCAGAATGTTCCAAAGGTTGATTCATCTATTGAATTATCCAGGTCCACAAGTCCTGTGAATTGCATGTGGTTTTAAAATTCTTATTTTACTTTCTCAAAGTTCCCATTCCACTCTTTTGGGGCCTAGTACCTCTATAGAGGGTGGTCCAGCTGCTGTTTTCTTAAAACACAGAGTTTTATGAGGATAGGAGTTTAAAGACCTAAGTTTATAGACACTTGCCTCTACTCTGTAGGCTTGGTGGAGCGGCCTTTCTCCCTTTCCCCATCCTTCCCTGTTTCTCTTGCCACACAACCCCAGCTGCCTGTCTGGCGTATGGCAGATGAGAAACCAGCTTTTCTTCAACACCTGTTCTGTTCCCGGACCAGTCTTAGGTCATGGGGATAAAGGAAAAGAATAGAAAATCTGGGCCCTGAAAGTGATTAGCAAGAAGCTGGGACCTAGAACCCCCTTGAGCAGGGTAGACAATAAGGTTTAGCAAGGCCTGATGCTGAGTGAATGAAGGCTTGTAACACCAGCTACTCTGGAGGCTAAGGCCGAAGAGTGGCGAGTTCAAGACTTGCCTTGGCAGCAGAATGGGTTCAGTGGACTGAAGCAGAAGGTTTATGAGTTCAAGAGCAGTTTAAGCTTCATGGTAAGGCCATATTTTTTTTTAAAGAAGATGGAGGCCCATGGGGACACTGAAAACAACGCATATGAACTCCATCCCTAGCTTCAATAAATCATGCTGATAGCTAAAAACTAAGGCTTACCACTGTGCTTTATCCCTTTGAACTTTCAATATAGCCAACAAGATCAGTGCTATTTTTATTCTATTTTAGAAAAAGCAGCACGAAGCCCAGAAAGGCTAATTCCCCAAGGTTAAATAGACAGTAAGTCGTGACCATGCCTGTGACCCGAACTATGAAGTCAAATGGGTTCAACAGTTATGTTGGTCAATGTTTACATGTCAGCCATTGTACTGGGTTCATAGATCAGCCAGGACCTTCAGTGTACTGGGAGAAACAGATGAAGCTGGTATCAGTTACATGTGGTAACAGAGCAATGGAGATACCATCACTCAGGAGGCACGAAGCCAAGTCCTCTGGGCCCCCTGCTCTGCAGCTCAGGGAATCCCAGTTGAGACTCAAAGGATGGGTCAGAACTGATCACTGGCCTGAATGACCTTGGGTAGAGTTTTTCCAGCAGGGGGTGTTCCTAGAAAGGAAGGTGGAATTTATGTTGATCAGGTGTTTGTCATCAGACCCTTTCCCAGTTTTAGGCTTAGGACTAGGATTCACCCCAGCCCCCAGTATGGAAATGGGGCTCACCTTCTGCAGTAGTAACCTCAAAGAGTCAAGGCACCATAGAGAGGAAGACTGTGAGCAAAGGCTGCTGGGAACAAGAACTACATACAGAAACTGAAGATTCCCATTCTGTCAGGGGCTGGGGGAAACACAAATGTTAGTCCATGCTCTCTGGTCCAGTGAGCCCCTGAAAAGCTACCTAAAAGCCAAGAGCAGAGGAGAAAGAAGGGGTCTCCCTAGCTCTCCAAAGGCAAGGTTTCTGAAGGGTCAGTTCTCCAACGCCTCCTCCTCACTCAGGCCTGGCCTTATCCCATTCAGCATAGGGGCCTCCTGGATCCTGCAAGCTCTGGCTATGTGAAGGAGAATGCCATTTCCCACTGGGGTAGCAGACAGAACCACTGACAGCACAGTATGTAGAGAGGGCCAGTGACACTGGGGCTGACTATAGTCTAAGGGACTTCACTATATCTGGAGAATTAATGTCTGAGAATTCCTATAGGGCAGGTCACTACTGGAAAGCATTGCAAAAGCCTCTTTGCTTGCCTTCCCCTCTGGCTGCCTAGAAAGGAGGACAGGAGGACGATAGGGGACAAACCTGCAACGGGTTATCTAGACCTAGACGTCACTGCCATCTGTCTCTGTGCAGGGTTTAGTGCATCAGGCTTTGCCAAGGATTTGGTACTAAGGAAGGCTGAGGCACACAGTCCCGCCACAGCTTCAGGAAGACCCAGATCTAGCCATAGCAGGGACCTCGAATGCTGTTACCCACGGCACCAAAACAGCTGTGACTCCCTGGCCGCGCAGCGGCTGGGATCTTGGCGTGGCCTGTGAAACGTTATGGATTCCGTTGGACCTGCCTCTGGGTGCCTGTGCGCCGAGCCGTGTCTCTGTGTGGCTTTTCTTTTAGATTATCGAGTATATGCTGCAGGCGGGATGGGCCTGGACCTTCGTCCACACAACTACTTGCAGCACTATGACATGCTAAAGGACATGTGGGTGTCACTGGCACCCATGCCCACTCCGAGGTACGCGGCCACCTCCTTCCTCCGGGGCTCCAAGATCTACGTGCTGGGTAAGGACAAGCTACTTGTTGTTCATTTCCTCTCCTGGCTCCCTTGGGTGAGTTCCCTGGGAGGCAAGGCCCACAGCTGGAGAAGGTCTCTGTCCCTGGGGGATCATCACACTGCTCCAGCCCTTGACAAGTCTTTCAAATGACTGAATAACAACACAAGGGAAATCCCAGCCCTATTGGTTCTCAGGGATTGCTTTTTTTTCTTCTTTTGGTCCACCATGTACCCTGTTCCCACCTCCAGGGGGACGGCAGTCTAAGTATGCAGTCAATGCCTTCGAGGTCTTTGACATAGAGTCTCGGTCCTGGACCAAATTCCCCAACATTCCCTGTAAGCGTGCGTTCTCCAGCTTTGTGACCCTGGACAACCACCTGTACAGCCTGGGAGGCCTGCGACAAGGCCGTCTCTATCGGCAGCCCAAGTTCCTCCGGACGATGGATGTGTTCGACATGGAACAGGGTGAGCTGGGTCCCCATCCCCTTGGCCTCTCTTCTAACTGATCCCCATTTTCCCCATCCTGGCGAAGCTTCCTGGAGCTGCTTACCTATCCAACCAGGCCTCTCCGGTGTCTAAGCTCCCTTCCTTACTCACAGATCTGGTTGGAGTCAAATTCTCTTCAAGGTACCTTTTGGCCTGGTTGGCTGTTTTCACCACGGCCTTTCCTCCACCACCGCCGGTGTCTGTACAGGACCAGGTTAGGAGTCTTCCTGTACTGATGGAGAATCAGAGGACTCCTGATTACTCTGTTTACTACCTTCAATCAGATTCCTCTCCAGTTTAGAACTGTGGAAAAACCCAAATAGAACAGGGACTCACGGGAGTTGTAGACGTCAGGCTGTGCCGAGCACCAGGGAAGGCTGAAGTGGCAGAGCGTGTTGTCTCCACCAGTAAGGGATACTCTCTGCACCCTGAACTCAAGGGGGCAGCCCCCAGGGTGAGAGTCACTTGTTAGGGGACACCAGCACCTAATCCTCTGTCTCTGCCCTGTCACGCTGTACATGACTTGCAGGAGGATGGCTGAAGATGGAACGCTCGTTCTTCCTCAAGAAGCGCCGGGCGGACTTCGTGGCTGGTGGTCTGAGTGGACGAGTCATAGTGGCTGGGGGACTTGGTAAGAATAGGTCATCTCAACTGTCCCGTGCTGTGGTTCTGGTCCTTGACACTGCACTGGAGCAGCGGGGTACTGACTTCTTACACACCTCCCACTGTTTCACCCCAAAGAATTCAATACACTCCGGACTTGACCTTTCCACGGGGGTCCCCATGTGTTCTTTCAGCTCTGTGCTAGGAAAATGGAGATCTAGAAAGAAGAGGGGACATACTGATAACCGTGAACCCCTGTGCTGAGCTAGGTCCCCGAGCCCCTTTCTGGGGATAGCTGGAGGCAAAGGGTGAAGGGATCAGCTGTCATCACCCTTCACTGACCAGCTCTTCTTGGATATCCAGGTGCATCTTGGGACAGCAAAGCAAATGGATGGTCCTAATTCTGGGCTTGATGTTTAGCTCCTCCCTCTCAGAGACTGCTGACAGTCTGAAGGCTGGACTGGGGTTTGGGGCCACTGAAGTCATTAGGGCACGGTGATAAAGGCAGTGGGGCTTCCAGGCAGCCAGAGTTTACATACCCACTATACTCATTCATGAACAACCATATGAGCTAGGTTATTAGGGAAGCTGTGTGTGTGTTCTAGAAACCCCTGATAACCAAGAGGAAAGAAAACAATCCTTTTCTTTCATTTTTTCAAGACAAAGTTTCTCTGTGTATAGCTCTGACTGTCCTGGAACTCACTCTGTAGACCAGGCTGGCCTTGAACTCAGATATCCACCTGCCTCTGTCTCCTGAGTGCTGGGATTAAAGGCGTATGCCATAATCCTATTTTTAGAATCTAAAGGTAAAGAGAAGGGACAGGGTACAAAGTTGCTTGACAGGAATCCTTGGCCCAGGATGTTAAAACCGGGTCCATCCTGTAAAAAGACAAAGAAGTTGCTCAACTTTTATTTCTGGGTTGAGAAATGGTCACTGTGGGACATGGCTTGGTGGTTGGGTCCCTTGGTCTAGGATCTGATTCCCCCGTTGGTTTCAGGAAACCAGCCCACTGTCCTGGAAACAGCAGAAGCATTCCACCCGGAGAAGAACAAGTGGGAGACCCTCCCTGCCATGCCCACACCCCGCTGTGCCTGCTCCAGCATCGTCTTCAAGAACTGCCTTCTGGCTGTGGGGGGCGTCAGCCAGGGTCTGAGCGATGCGGTGGAGGCACTGTACGTCTCTGACTCCTAGCTGGGCCCAGCGGTGCCCTTGCCTGGACAGCATCGCTCCACTCTTGACGTGAGGAATAGTCTCATCAAAGCAGTTCGGACTACGTCCTCCGGTCTCCAACTCTTGTTAAGAGTCGGTGGGGCCAAGCCCTAGGGCTCTCAGTGACCTCCCTCTGCCCCCTAACCTACCAGTCTCAGAAAGCTGAAGAAAGCACAGCTGACTGCACCTACAAGTGAGAACTGGGCTGTGGCCTGGGGAGAAGCCTCACTCAGTGCTCAGACACAGAAAGGCACAGACAGGAATGTTCCCTCCTCTCACCTACCTACGGGGGTGGGGGGCAGTTGCCACCCCAAAGGGGACCACTGTGGTCCTTCCCCATCTCTGAGCTAGTTTGAGTGTCAGGTAAACTGATGAAGAAATGGGGCATCCCAAGCCCCTTCATTCTCTTTGGTTGACATCATCCCCCATATAGAAGTCAGCTGTGGTCCTGCCCCAGCTCTCACCTACTTAGCAGGAACTGGACTTGAAGCTAAGGCGGATGTGTGGGAAGGTAGTCGGGAGCTCCCATGTCGGGCCAGGCCAACAGCCTTGGCCAAAAGGACCCTTCCTCTCAGGTCCTTCCTGGGCATGTGGTGATGGAGCATCACTATCTTCTGTACTCTACCTTCTGCCACCCTCTCCCCACCCGAGGCCTGGCCGTTCTGGGCTCCGCGGCTCTCAGAGTGTCTCTGGGCGAAACCTTCTCATCTACACTGTGGCTTCCAAATCCACAAAGGGTGGATTAATTGCACTCTGGTTAATAACAGCAGCACAATGGTTGACATCTTTACTCCTGTCTTCTTTGGACCCCGGAGACAAAGCAGGGGGGCGCTCTGGTTAGTAGATAGAAAACCCTGTGAGGCCACCTCCCTCCGTGTCCTTAGGCTAAGCAGGGACCAACTGGCCACCTATTCTTTTTTTTTTTTAAAGATTTATTTATTATATATACAGTATTCTCAGTATTTTCTCTGCATGTATGCCTGAAGGCCAGAAGAGGGCACCAGTTGTCAATACAGATGGCTGTGAGCCACCATGTGGTTGCTGGGAATTGAACTCAGGACCTTCAGAAGAACAAGCAGTGCTCTTAACCACTGAGCCATCTCTCCAGCCCTGGCCACCTGTTCTTGACCATTCCTGGTGAAGAGTTCGGCCTTCTCCCAGCCATAGCTCTCCTGCTATCAAAGAGGAAAGAGGCAGCTGAGTTTTCTTCTCTGGATGCACACATGTTTGGCCAAGGTTGTGATCATCCGATCTTTGCCAGGTTATACCCATGTCTTATCTCGATCAGTTCAGCTAAAGCTCATTTTAGACATGAAAGAACTAACTGTCCACTGACTGCAAAAACAAGTGGGAGAGACAAAAAGGCCAGAAGGCTGGAAGCTGATTAGCCTTCCTTCTAGCCTGCACAGAACCTCATGAGGCTTCCACGGCCCCTGCTCGCGGGCCTGCTCAGGGACCTGAGTTGCAACCCCTGCACAGAAACCAAACCTAACCAGTTAGCCTTGAGGACACAAAGAATCAAACCCCTATGAGGCTGTGGAGGAGCCAGGGGGTCCTTCACTCTTCACAAGGCTCACCAATTAATTACCTCCTAAAGAGTCTGCGCTTGGGGATGGCCTTTCAGGGTCCGAGGGGTCAGAAGGAGCTCTTTCTGGTGAGGGGGTAGGGGTGTCACTTCCTGCTGAGTCTTCAAGACAGGGTGAAACCTGGGTCTTTAAGGATGGTGGGTTATTGACTTCATTCTCGGAATACCTTGGTTTCCTTTCTCTTTGGGTTCCTAGAGGATACTGCCACCTGCTGGCCGAAAATGTTTTTCTCACCAACGTGAGGAGGCAGATTGTGGCCATTGGTTTCCCTCAAGAGCAGACCACAAAGAAGCCTCCGTTGCTTCTGGATCCAATTCCATTCAGCTCCCCTGAACTAACCATTAAATAAAAATGGCTGGGGGGGGGGGATGCAACTGCTATGGAGGACAGGCGGCTTCTTGACTCTATCTCCTTACCTCATTTCTGCTTCTGTCCTGCCCATATCATCCCCAACCCAAGAGGAGCCAATCCATACAGGTTCTTCTCCAGGCACAACGACCCCATATCTGTGGATAGGGCTGAATTCTTTCAGTATGGCTGTAACCTTAAGGGCCCAGCCCTACTAGATGGTTGAGTTAGACACTGGAATTAACAGAACAACTCAAGGCTGGAGCTGGTATCTGCTAGGGTCACCCCTGCCCAAATTTCATTGTGGAAAGACTATGGATAGCATACTGAGAAACGAGGGAAGCCCTCAGTCTGTGGAAAAGCTATACTGCCCGCACTGCAGAGACAGCACAGCCAATGGTCTGCCTTTAGACTACACACATCCAACTACCACAGTTCTCCCACACCACCCACCTGAGAAGGCTTGTTACACTCCTCGTCCGAATTCCCCAGTCTGTCTCACAAGGTGGAGGGCAGTAGAGGAGATAGAGACACCAAGGTACCATCCACAGTCAAGAGGAGCTCCAGAGTCATGCAGGCCATACTGTCCAAGACTTGTCTCAAGCCAAGTCCATGAAGCAATCATCAGTCTCGGGTGGCTCCAGAATCGGAAGAGAAAAGGCTGGCCCATGCCAATGGCACTTCATTCCAGACCTCTTTCTTTCCTTCTTTCTTTCTTTCTTTCTTTCTTTCTTTCTTTCTTTCTTTCCTTCCTTCCTTCCTTCCTTCCCTTTTCTTCTTCTTCTTCTTCTTCTTCTTCTTCTTCTTCTTCTTCTTCTTCTTCTTCTTCTTCTTCTTCTTCTTTTCTTCTTTTTTGTTTTGCTTTTGGTTTTTTGAGTCAAGGTTTCTCTGTGTAGTTTTAAAGCCTGTCCTGGAACTTGCTCTGTAGACAAGTTACTCTGAGACAGGCTGGCCTCAAACTCACAGAAATCCACCTGCCTCTGCCTCCCGCACGCCGGGATTAAAGGCGTGTGCCACCACTGCCAGCCTCCAGGCCTCTTTCTAACAGAGTCTCGCAGTTGCATTGATCTTATGGGATTCCCCACCCAACCACCTACAAACCCCAGCTCTGACCTAGGAGGAGTGTGGTCGCTTTTCCAACCCTCCTCCCTACTTTAAAGAAGAAACTGACATCTAGGGATCCTGAACTCCTAACCCGGACGGTACAGCTGGTGCATGTTGGGAGTGAACACCTGACCCTGTTCTCTAAACGTAGCCCCGCCTCCACACATATGTAAACACACACTGTTGGTTGTTAGTGCCACCAGAATAGGGAGAAGAGCAAGGGGCTTCATGTCTGACTCTCAATCCCACGTGACATATATAGAACAGGCCCAGACCTTAGCGAGGGACTCGGGGACTTTCACTGGTGGCTTCAGTGTGGGAGATGGAGCAGTTGCAGCGACTTTGACACAAGGCAGGACTCAGGCAAGAGCCAAAGAGGTAGACAAAGTGGCTTTGACAAATTGAGTCAATAAAAATTGTCACGGGCATTTGCTTTCCAGGAATGCCGTAGAGAAAACATCACAGACTAGGGGTAGCTGGAAACAGCAGGAAATTTGGGTACCACATCTGGAGGTTAAAAGTCTGAAATCAAAGGGTTTAGTGAGGCTGTGCTCTGACTGATGGTTCGTGGAGGGGTTGGTCTAGGGGGCGTGGATTTCTATGCCTCTTCCTGACTCCAGTGTTATCTTGTAGTTTAGCTTGCGGCAACATCGTTTCAGTGACACCTGTCTTCACACAGCCATTGCCATGACTGCGTCCTAGTTTCCCTGACTTTATAAGGACACTGAGGTCCATGCATATCCAATGACTTCATTTTAAGATGAGCATATCTTATTTTATATCTACATATATATATATATATGAATATATATTGTTTCCAAGTGAAGTCTCATTCCCAGATACTAGAGGTTAGGATATCAACATACAGTTTGCAGGGATTCGGGGGAGGGAGGAAGATAATCACCTATATCAACTCACCACCAAACCAAGCATGATAGACAGAGCAGGGAGAGCAATAATTCCTCGAGCCTTGAGCTTCCCGCATCAGCGCGCTGTTAGAGCTAGGCCTCCAGAGAAGATCCGGAATGCCATAGAGCACACATCTCGGGCATGCAGTGGGAAGAGTCCAAGTCAAGGCACGGTCTGAGTAGATCTCAAGCGGAGCCGAGGCTTACGGTGGGACGCTTGGAGTGTGTTCTGGTGGTACTTCTCTGACCCTGTCCCTCCACAATGGGCTCCACAGGCAGCTATGTGCTTGGCCTCACGGAAGCCTCAGGGCCTCTTTTGCTCCAGGGAGCAAAGTGCTTAAGAGTCTACCCTCCCCAGTGCAGGGGTGTACTCTTGAGGGCTAGCCTAGCAGACCTGCAGATTGTGTGCCTCAACTGCCCTACACCAGCTCCCTGCACTGCCTCCTGCACCCGAGGACCAACCTCTGCTCCCTGTACCCTACTCTCTGCCTTCTTTCTCTTCTACCCTCACTCAGCTTACACACATATTCCTCACAGAGCCTCTATTCCGATACACCTTCCTGGGCACGCTCTCCATGCAAATGACCACCCACACTCACTGACACAGCCATACACACTCCTTACAAACATATGCATACACACCCCCTTATGGACATCTGTCATGCACATAACTTAGTTTTCACGCTTCTATGCATATGATCTCAACTGTAAGCGGTGGCCAGACTTTGAATCCCCCCACCCTTTTTTGAAACATGGCCTTACTATGGAGCCTCTGCTGGCTTGGAACTTGCTATGTAGACCAGGCTAGCCTCAGGCTCATAGAGTTCCACTTGCTTCTGCCTTCTGAGTGCTGGGATTCAAGGCGAAGGCCTCCATACCTAGTTCAGAATCCTCTCAATTCAATCATCTGGCCATGCCTCAAAGCTCAGAGTCCTAACCGTTGGAAGGGTGGATTGCTACAAGATTCTGGAGTTCTTGCCGTGGTGGGGTCATCTGTTGCCCTGGGTTGTGTCCTCTGCAGCACCCCACCCTCTAACAATGCCACACCGCCATTTGCCACAACTAGAGGAAGTTTTTGAACCATACGTGCGCTGGGATCCTTCTGTTTTAGGTGAGGAGACAGGCCTGAAGGGTTCCTGTATTCTGACTCCTGAGAAGCTGCTGGGCCCCAAGAAGGGAGTACTGGGCCTGCCTCACTTACCCTCTCAACTCAGTTCCTTGCTGGCACCGTGCCAGCACAGGCCTGCGCCAGTGTGCTGATCAATGGACAACAGATGTCTTTCCCTAGGCAGGGAAAGCCCAGCGCCTCAGCCCACCTCCTAGTCTGACCAGACCTCTCCACTAGCCACAGAAGCAGCTTTTCTTATGCAAACTCTGGGAGCCACCTCCACCCTCCAAGCAGGAAATAGTTTATAGATGACTCACAGGGTCTTTGGAAGGACGGATGGGGACAGAGAAGTGTTTGGACATTTGGTCCATGATGAGACACCTCAGAGTTGATGGACTGAGGGCTGTGGGGAGTTAAAATTTGCCTTCTCATTTGCATACACCACAGGAGACAGCCAGCTTGGACCCCAGACTGGCAGTTAGCGGTCTTGCAGTTTGTCAGGGTTTCAGCTGGGCTTCTGGAGCTTTCCTCTGGTTAGCCTTAGAATATATGGCTGTGCCAAGGTCCCGGGGTCACTGTTTCCAAGTGTTCCACGCCGCCCTCTCATCTGGACATGGTAAGGACTCAGAATCACCGCACCTAGCCGTTACTCAACAAGAAGTAGGCATTGGTCCTATGCTTAGCAATTCCGTCTCAAAAGCAAACCTGTATAAGAAAACACAATGATAGGGGGCTGGAGAGATGGCTCAGAGGTTAAGAGCATTGCCTGCTCTTCCAAAGGTCCTGACTTCAATTCCCAGCAACCACATGGTGGCTCACAACCATCTGTAATGGGGTCTGGTGCCCTCTTCTGGCCTGCAGGCATACACACAGACAGAATATTGTATACATAATAAATAAATAAATATTTAAAAAAAAAAAGAAAACACAATGACAGATAAAGCACTTTCGCAGGTCCCCCTGCTCCACACCTTACTTGTAGAAGGGGACTGTCTGGGAGCTTCCCTTTCACAGAGTTCCTGCTCTACCTGGAACCTGAACTCCTAGCGCCTTAGAGTAGCAGACTAAGCCCCTCACTATACACCAGTCCCCTCCACCCTGAATCCCACTCCAGTGTGTGGCAAATGTGAGTCACTATCTCCTTAGTCCTCTCCCCACATTTTTGAGGTCTCCTCAGGCTATGATGGTGTCACTAACCCATGTGACCCAGGGAGTCCCAGAGACCCTGTCTGGTGGGAGCCCAGTCAAAGGAAAGCCCAAAATCGAAAGAGCCAGAGAAAGCAAGACTGTGATAGGAATCGTTAGCTGCCCGCTTTCTCTCTTAAGTTCTTCCCCAGCTTCTGTGGACACAGAACCAGGTCAGAAACTGAGCAGAACTTCAACCCCCTGCCCCCTGCTTGTGAATGGGCTCCTTCAGCTCCTCGCTGTGGGCTCCAAGAGCAGTGCTAGGTCAGCTTTTTAAGAGTTTTGGTGACAGTGGCTTGTTAATCCACCTTGCGAGGGCAACCCCCAATACCAGACTGAACTGGTGTTACCCAGGCCGTGAGGAATGCTGGCTCCCACCTTCCTTTACCCAGGGCCAGGAGCTGCTGACCTGGCTAAAGAATGTGCTTTGCTTGACCTTAGCATTCCAGGGTCAGCTTGGGAGGCCAAGGGCTTGAATTGGCAGCAGAAGCCAAACACAAGGCAGAACGGTGGCACTGGACAGCTTGCCCACCCCCGAAATCTGGGCACATATCCTTTCTCTGTATTTCCTCGTCACTCTGGGTCTCCCCTGAATGGAGGAAGGACCAGCAGAAAGAAAAATTCTCTCATTTGGGGGAGGGGGACATTTATATGAACTGAAGCTACCAAGCCCTGAGCCACAGTGTCCCTTGCCATAAGCCCTACCTGCTGGGGAGCCTAGAACTCTATACAAAACCATCTTCAAGTTCAGGGTTTCCTTAGGCCAAGTAGACAGGGAAACTAAGTCACTGGTCCAGGTCATGTGGCCAGCAGACAGAAATCCCTGTCCCTGACTCCCAACTCAGGTTGCTGTGTTCCTTGCCACAATCACATCAACTGCCCACATACCCAGCATCTAACCCAGGGCACGGGGAAGGGGCATCAAGGCTGTGGGCATGGAGTGTTGACGACAGGAAAGATGGGTATATTTTTACTGACTTATACTCATCTTAGCCCATCATCAGCCTTGGGTGACTTACGACAGTGACACCACACAGAGCCAGTGGAAAGTACTTGGCCTCTCAAGGGCCCACTGAAGGAATCCTAACTTTTAACAACTGCCTAATCACAGACACCCCAGGTTGGTTTTTTTTGTTTTGTTTTGTTTTGTTTTTTTAAAGATTATTATTACGTAAACAGTGTCCTGCCTGTATGTCTGCCTGCAGGCCAGAAGAGGGCACCAGAGTTCATTACAGATAGTTGTGAGCCACCCCGGGAATTGAACTCAGGATGGTCTGGAAGAGCAGCCTGTGCTCGTAACTGCTGAGCCATCTCTCCAGCCCCCACCCCAGGTTTTTATCCCCCAGAAGGGAATAACAGAACCTCAGAGATTAGGAAGAGGAGGTGGGACAAGGGGCAGAAAAGGAGGAAGATCTTCGTGCTCTACCGTTAACAGTGAGGTGAGACATCCTTCGCAAACCACTGACTGGAACCCCTAGAATTTAAAACTAACTAGATGCTCACCCCTCAAACTCCCACCACCCACAGCACCGTGTTTAGGAGTTTAAAAATTAACATATAGAGTAGTTAACAGGCCCTTCCTTTCCTCCCTGGGGCCTCCTCCCCTGTCCCCCAGCATAGCTCTAGAGCCTTAGGCAGTTCCAACAATCCTCATTAGCTCCCAGCTTATCTTCACTGTCCTCCTGCCTGGGTCGGGTGCACAGAGCTCAAGTGTCTGTTAAGTCCTTGTTGTACCGCATCCCTGCCACACACTTGGATCGTCGCCAGGATTGGCGGGAGGGGAGTTGGGAAGACTGCAGCCCAGTAAAAGTTCAAACAGACAGGTAGGAAACCATTTGGTCCCCATGCAAGTTCATGAGAGAGACATGTGACATGTTTGATACATGAACACAGAGCATCAGAAGACTAGGCACACCAGACTCCTCACCCAATCAAATCAGAAGGGCAAACGCTGCCATTTCTGGTGATATCTTTGTGACCCTGTAGAGACAGGTCCTTCGTTTTTCTACTTCTTAGCTTACACAGTGGGGATAAAATTCACCAGGACAGGCCAGCTAAAGCTGTCACATTCCTTGTAAGACTTGCTACAATTTTAGATTGTTGGTAACTCACTAGATCCATCTTGTATTTCCAGAACCCATTTGGGTCCCACAAGGCAATGTAATGGGGCACAGCCACGATGTCAGGCTGGACAGGTTTATTTGCCTCCTGCTATGCTACTTCCTAGCTGGTGACACTATATCTAGGATGTTTAGAACTCGGGCCGGCTCAACAAATGGTAAATAGACAGCATCGTAACTAAGGATAGGCACAGTTTCAGTGAGCTCACAAGTCCGTCACTTCTCAGTTCTGCCAGGAGAGGGCAGCGTTGAGCCAGACATCTCAATTTCCTCGACTAGTGTTTATCCAGGCTCAGTGGGTTCACACCGCCTAGTTCTGGGGAACCAGTTCTAACAGGCCAGTTCCTGTTCACACAATTCCATCAATTTTTAGGTCCTATTGTCCACCGCAGGGTGGGGTTAGAAGGTGACTGAGACCTCTAACTCACCTGAACTCTAAGGAAAAGGCAGCTTAATGACCGAAGTCTCTCTGACTGGAGGGGGTGGTGTGTTGAGCCCCGCATCTGCTCTCCTCCCTGAGAAAAAAAAAGGGAGAAGAGGAACATCGGTACCGAGACAGTCCCTGAGAGTAGACCCTCTGGGATCCTTATGTCTGTCACCACACAGAGGTCAAGTCCATTGACTTCCTCTGCTCCTTTTCCCATACATCCCCACTTCATGCCTGACACTAATCTAAGTCTCACCCACCCCTCAAGACCCAAGTGGCTTCCTCTGAGGCCCCCCTTGAACTCCTGAGCCAGGTAAGACCCAACTTTTCTGCCCTGTTCCTGCACTTCAAACCACCTTGAGGGGCTCCCACTTCCTACCGTAGATTACAGGATAAACTGTGTGCTTCACTTATTTCTCTTGTTAAGCAGAGAACTTCCTGAGAGTAAGGAACTAATTATTAGTCATCCCCCGAGATGTGTCTGACACCTGCCTTACGCACCCCTTGTCATTCCCCCACAGCAGAGCCTTGCTGCCCTCCTCTGTGTTCCTGCCCGCACCTGACGCATGCCATAATACTCCCTCAGAGGTGCTCCCGCATCCCAACATGCGGCACGTTCAGACTACGGCATGCAGGAGGGCAGGAATGGACGCTTATTCCCAGTGAGTACACAGAAGGTTTGTTTTCTTCGAGACCCTTTAAGTAGTTGGTGTGAGGGTGAGAAGAGCCTCCTCCCAGGGCTGGAACAGGAAGCCGATAGGACTAAGAGTGACTCCGTACAGCCTGGGCTTCCCAGCACGTCCTATCCAAATATCTAAGCCCAAGGTTTGAGTCACCGAGTCACCTTCCAAGCCTCCTTATACAGAATGAAAGTCGAATTCCATCACTTGGTTGTTCTATTCAGCTTTGTTGTTATTGTTGTTCATTTATTTCCTGTGTGTGGGTATTCTGCCTGTGTGTGTGTCTGTGCAGCACATGTGTGCCCGGTGTCCTTAGAAGCCTGAAGAGCCCACCAGATGCCCTGGAACTGGAGTTAGAGCTGACTGAGGCCAGTGTGTGGGTGCTGTGAACCAAACCCTGGTCCTCTGGAAGAGAAACAAGTGCTCTTAATGGCTGGGCCACCTCTCCAGCCCCAGTTCTAATGGCCAGGTCTGCTTGTTTGCCTACATTGTACATTCATCTGGTCTGTGTGAATCCATGGGCACCGCGGTGATCTGCGATCCGCTAACTACTGTTGGGGATGTTTAGAAATAGCGATCCATATCTATGTGGTTTTTGTTTGTTTGTTTTTCAAAACAGGGTTTCTCTGTGTAGCCCTGGCTGTCCTAGAACTTGCTCTGTAGACCAGGCTGCCCTTGAACTCACAGATATCCTCCTGCCTCTGCCTCATGAGTGCTGGGATTAAAGGCATGATTTAGATTAAGTTCTTTTTTTTTTAATGCCTCACCGGCTTTCCTACAGTCCAATCTTTTTTTTTTTTTTTAAAAAAAAAGATTTTTAGTATATTATGTACACAGTGTTCTGCATTCATGTATCCTTGTACACCAGAAGAGGGCACCAGATCTCATTATAGATGGTTGTGAGCCACCTTGTAGTTGCTGGGAATTGAACTCAGAAACTCCGAAAGAGAAGCAAGTGCTCTTAACCTCTTAACCTCTGAACCATCTCTCCAGCCCCTTAGTCTTAAAGGGCTTCTCTGGAAATTTCTTTAAATTTCTTTCATAAATACATTTATTTATGAGGAAATGCTGATCCAGCAAGCTAATAGCCATGAGTCCTCCAGTCTCTGCTTTGAAAGCCCTGTTTTTAGGAAGCACCTCCAAACTAGTTTCCTTTCATCTGGGCTAAGGGCTCGCTACAGCTCTCATGTTAGTTGGGATTAGAACCCAGGTGTCCCAGCCCTGGGAGCTACAGTCTACTGTTCTGTCACTGACACTTGCTCTTCAGATTCCTAACCTGTCTGGATGGGCCTCCGGGACCTGACCTGTCTGGATGGACCTCCGGGACCTGACACAGGTTATGGGTATAGATCGCAGGTCAGATGGACTATCTCCTGAGCCTTTCTATTTTCACGGATCACTCAGAATGGGAAGGCAGGCCGGCAGAAGAAAGGACGCGAAAGCAACTACACAGTTCGTGGAGGACCCAGACGTGAAAAAGAGAACCTGGTTCCTGGGGGATCTTCACTGGCTGGAGAGGGCTCCATGCAGCATGGTGATAGTTCCCCTGGAAAGAATCAAAAGGTGAGCAGAAGTAGGAAAATGGACAGACACTAGATTATAAAAAACAACAACAAAACCCTGGTCACTGAGGATGTGGTCCTCTGCAGACCCTGACGTCACAGTCGGGAATGAGGTCCTGCAGAGAAGGGAGGCCAAGGCAGTCCTCTTGTCCTGTGTTCTTGTCCCTGTATAGTCCAGGGTCTGAATCCCAGTCCTGTGGCTTTCTTGCCAGCTGTGTGGCGTTTGACAGAGGTATACTCACTTTCTACAACAGGAAGGGGGTTATGGACCTAGTCTTCCAGGCCTCTCAAGTGGAGCCAGACCTCATGCCCAACCACCTGTTCTTCTAGCTAAAAGTCACCGGAAGAAATTCTGGGACCAGGAAGCTCCTTGTAGACTTAGGGACACAGGGTAGTAAGTTCCTGGAGTCTGTATGATGTTTTTTTTTTTTTTTTTTTTTTTTTAATGAATGAATGAAAATCCATAAAGACGACCACTTCTTGAGAGAATACACTCAACCCTCTAAGTCCCCTTTTTGCAGAAGAGGTAAGAACTTTCCAGGCCTGCTGGATTCCAGAATCCATTTAAGGTTGATAGAACACAAGCAGAGTCCCTGGAGGCAAGGCAGCTCTCCCCCGTGCTTAGCAGGAATCAACCTTCATCCCAGTCTATCTCCTCATTCCCTTTCTCCTTTATGTACCTGAAGAAGTTATCAAACGGTTTTACAGATTTTTGGCTCGAGAGGAGCAATTTACTGCGTGTGGAGAAATACTTCAGGGCCTTCTAGTGCCCTCAGACTGTCCCTTGCCAACCAAGAACACAACACAATAGAACAGGTTGGCGCCATTTAGAGGCAAAAGCAGTTCAGAGAGCCTTCAAACATAAGGACCTACTTCAGAAGTAATTCGGCTCGGGCTCGGCGTCCTTTCTCGCATTCCTGGTCCTTGGGTCCCGGTGGGCGGGGCTCCATTCACACCTTTCCGCGCCTAGCTAAGGGGAGGAGGCGGGGCAGGATCCAATAGAGCCAATGCGAGAGGCCTTGGTCACGAGTCGCCGGCAAGCGGGCCAATGGGACTCGGGGGAGTGGCTAGGGCCTTCCCCCTCCAAACGTTTTATAGCAATTCGGGCTGTGAGGCTTTCTAGCGCGCTGGGGTACGACAGTGACCTCTGGACCCGCGGCTCTCCACGCGCTGCTACAGCAGCCCGACCCCCTCCGCCTCGCCGTCCCGCACAATGGAGTCGGTGGCCTTACCCCGGGGCGCGGGCCAGGCGCCCTCGGTCTTCGCCCTGGCTCCCGAGCGCGCCCGGCCGCTGGCGGACGGGCTCATCAAGTCGCCCAGACCCCTGATGAAGAAGCAGGCTGTGAAGCGGCACCATCACAAACACAACCTGCGGCACCGCTACGAGTTCTTGGAGACACTGGGCAAGGGCACCTATGGGAAGGTGAAGAAGGCACGAGAGAGCTCGGGACGCCTGGTGAGTGTCCCTCGCAGCGCCCGATTCCCGGGAGCTCACAGCGCGTCCCTTGCGGTGCCCTTCGCTGAGTTGCCAGGCGCGCGCATTTTAGGTGTGTCTGTCCGTGGTTTTCAGCGACAGTGCTCGTGGACCTGAGAACCTTAGCAGCACCAGAGCCTGTCGTTTGAGAAGATGGGGCTTAACTTGAATTTTCCCTGGAACAAACTTCTACGGAGTAGAATGGAAGGAGGAAGTTGAAAGCTCTAGATCTCAGTAGATGGATGAGGCGTGGAAATCGTTAACTCTCGCCTGACACTTGGGTCCTTTCCAGTTTCGTTATGATGGCCTTTGATTCTGGGAAATGTAAAACTAGGCTCTGGTGCCAGGTCCACTGTATCTCACCATGTCTTTGGGTGTGAGGCCTTTGGGGGAACTTGTCCTTTTGATTTCATGCGTGTGTAATTGCCATAGTCATCTGTAACTCTGAGCAAGTTCCTTCATCCATATTCTGTTTCCCCTTCTGCAAAACAGGGAACACAGCCAGTCTCACAAGCTGCTCGGGAGAGTGAATGAATAAGAAGCACTGTGAATGCACGTGGGTCCTGCATTGGGATCATAGGGCCTGCATTGATAATGGATGCTTCTATCTGGAAAGCTCCCCAGCCCCGAAAGGATAGCAAATTTACCCAAAGTTACACAGCAGTGGCTCTTCCATTCCAGTTCAGCCCGCCTGGCATTAGCTGGGTACTTGTTTGAAATGCTCAGTCTCTCATTCCCCACCACGCAGGGTGTATTATAAAGGTCTATAATTCACATTGCAGCAAGCCTCGGAGCAGGTGGCTTAGAGGTGATATTTTGCCAGATCCAGTGAGTGCTGTTTGTGAGGGGGGTGTGTATGTGTGACCATAGCTTGCTCTATTGACTATGGCAGTGGTCCCCTCCCCTGATTGTTTGCTTTTGCAGCCAGTAGCTGGTTTGAAATTCAAGAAGTCATTTCATTGGTGAAGGAGAGTGGATGTTGGAGAAAGGAGTGGATTATGGCCCCATCAATGGGAGCAAGTATGTTTTTCCTGCTAAGGCCTGGCACAGTCCCCAGTTGTCCGCTGCCAGGTTACAGCTATTGGGCAATCGTGTACTTCCTGGCTTTTCTTTCTTTCTCTTTCTATAAAGTGCCAGGGCTCCAGAGGCTCCAGGCTTGAGACGGCTGGGCCCCAGCTTTGTCAGGGGCTTAGCTTGAAGATAGCTGCTTTTGGCTTGTGTCTGTGTCTCTTGTGAGAAAACTGGGTGGAGGAACTAGACTGGCTGAGAAACTGAGATCAAAGTTCAGAGATCCCATCAGCTCTTGACCGAGGTCACTGTCTTATACAGAGAGAGAAAAGAGAAGAGAGAGAGACATCACATTTAGGCCTTGGTGGCTTTTATATCAAAACAGAGAGTTCAGAGGGAAGTCCCAGGTTCATGTGCCTTGCTGTGTGTAAGATCAGCAAATATGAAGTCTGCTCTGGACCTCCCCAACCAGACCACCCAGGACAGCTGTTGAGTTTGCTCAGAGTCCCCCCACTTTCTTAGAAGGCAACTTTCTGCTCTGCTAACGATTTCTCAATCCTGAAGCATTGCCCTCACCCCCACCCACCCAACCCTACACCTTGACTGTTCTCCCTAGAGAGAGACTTGATGCTTCAGATGTGTCCGTGGGGGAGAAGAACATGGGGCTGCTTATGTCTTCCCTGGATGAACTGAGATTAGTGGTGAGAGCCCAGTTCACAGGGAAGCCTGCTGGGTGGCATCCCTCTTGGGTACTCATCACCACATTCCCAGCTCCCTTCCCACTCTCCACTTGCAGAGATGGTCAGGAGGGTCCCGTGGGACTATCTGCAGGGAAGGACAGGGGTGGGGGGTGGGGTGGGGCACTAATGACTGCTCCAGGGTGGCATCAGAGGAAAAACAAATATTTGTCCTGGATCTCAGGCACATTCCTGGTACCCAAATGACATGTCCTGCTGCGGAGTCTCCCAGCTCCCCTAACCAACCCCTCTCCCTAAAGAGAAAAACACCTGCTAGGGGCCCACCAAAGCCTTTGGTCTGATCTGTGTGGAAGTCTCACTTCTAAGGGGAGCCATGAGGAGCAGGAACGGAGCCCAAGTGGGTAGTTCTATGCAGTCTCAATGCTTCTGCTCCTTTTACATTTTCAATGGCTTTGTAGACTTCTAAACGTTGGGAAAAGGAGAGACTCTCCTTCCTTCATTGTCAGATGAGGGAACCAAGGCCCGGAAAAGGGAAGTGATTTGTCTTCTGACCGGGTAATGGCAGATCTGCAACATAAGCGCCAGACTTGTCCACCTAGGTCTCGGATGACCAAGTGCTGAGTCGTGGTCTAGAAGTTAGCTTTGCAATGAGCCTGGGCTTGCCTCAGAGCTTTGTCATCCCATTGGCTAGCTCCAGCTGCCTTCCCAGCCCTCCAGGCAATGTTTAGAGTAGGAGAAGTCGCTGGGAACCTCTCTTCTCAATACTGTGTTAAGGGACTGTGCTTGAGACTATATTCCTACAAAGTGTCAAATTGTGCTTCCCATTGCTTACCAGATGAAAAGACCTTTGTTCCTCGGTATCCTTATCTGGGAAACGAGGATTATAATAATTCCTGTGCCTGGGTTTAAGACTAAGGTAATTATCTGTAAATCTTAGCAGAGTGTCTAACACACACGGAATTTACTGCTCCAGTAGGGATGCGTTGACCTAGGGGCTCCTATTCTGGGCTTCTTCTGCCACAATGAGGAGCATAGACTGTGCTCAGTCTTCTTGAGTTGAACCACGATGGCCTCTGCTTTGTTCAAAGCCCTCATCTCTCATTCAGCCAACTTCAGAGGAGGACTCCTGCTGGCCAGCAGCCAAAGGCTTGTTGGGCAAGATGCTGCTGTCCCAGCTCCTCCTGCACCTGCCTGCTCAGCAACAGGGAGGGAGGCTGCAGGCGACTCTTGTCCTTGGGCTCCAGCCAAACCACACAAAAGGGCTGGGCAGGGAAGCTCCTTGCTCAGGAACCTGGCAGAGTGGGCTAGAAAGAGGCTAGGAGGAGGTGGCATTGTATAGGACTGGGGAGATGGCTCAAGTTACCCACAGAGACTCTTCCTGATTCTTGCCTAGTTCTTGGTAGAGTGGCGCATCCCAACTGCTCAGCCGGAGCTACCTAACCTAACCACTCCCACACTATCTAAGTGGGTCATCGTCCAGCTTTTTGCCTCCTTTCCAGACAGCAGCTTCTCCATAAAGGACTAGAGAGGAGTCAAGAATGTTGGCTATGACCAGAGATGCCCAGCTTATACCATCTCAGCACCCGGAACCAGCATCTCTGCCACCCACCCCTCTTCTTTTTTCCTCTCAATTTTTTTGATCCCCTTCTGAATATAGATCATTCCTAATCTGAGCTCCGGGAGAGAGGAGGTATTTACCAAAGGGGCCTTAGCACTACTTCCTCAGGGTGTTGGCAAAGACTGGGCATGTTTTAAGTGAGAAAGAATGGCACGCACAATGTGACCTATGGCAAGATATGGGCAGTCCCTTCTCCAGGGATGGGAGGCAGGGTTGGACACTTCCACGGAACTTTTGTCTTCTGAGATCCTAACGTCTCCTCCTGTGTATTCCTGTCCTGTGCTTGGAGAAACTCTGGAGAAGTCGGTTTTTCTTTTGGAAGTTTTCACTGTTTGAAAATCAGGTTGGGGAATTCGCTTTCCTGCCTTTACCAGCTTGCAGAGCTTCAGGGACAGGAAAATTCACTGGGATGAATTCAGCAGGAATTATACTCTGGCAGTTAACATGGTCAAGCATGGTGGCCCTGCCACAGTCCTTGTATGGCACCTTCCTGACACTGCAGTGACCCGTTTCTGAAGGAGCGCTACACAGAATGCTGGAGCATGGAAGGGAGCTCAGAGCTCCACCCTGATCTGCCTGGGATGTTCTTGCCCTTTCATATAGCCCACTGTCTTAGCCAAAAACCTCACCTATCCTTCCAGACTTGATACGGTTTGCTCCTGGGCTGGTTTTCTGTGCTCTTCCAAGTAAAGAAAGTCACTCTTTAAAGCCACTCCCCAAGATCTTCCACAAGTGAGGACGTTGAAACGAGACATCCCAGGAGTAGAGCGATGGCTCAGCACCTTGAGCCACTTGCTGCACTTGCAGAGGACCTGAGTTTGGTTTCTAGTACACATGTGGTTGCTCAGAACCATCTGTAGCTCCAATTTTAGAAGAATCGGTACCCTCTTCTGTCCTCCACGGACATTGTATGCATGTGGTACACATGCGTGGCAAACAGGCAAAACACCCATTTGCATAAGATAGAAATAAATAAATCTAAACAAACAAACTAGACAACCCAGTTAGCCAGATTCTTCTAGTTTTATGTGCCTTGAGTTGCATGGCTTGAGACAGACAGGTGTGAGTCTGGGTGCCTGGGGTCACCAGCCCTGCTCAGCTGGCGATGTGGTTCTGTTCATACACAGAAGCATCACTGGGCTGGTTCATGCTTTTTCTGCCTCAGAGTGTGGTGACCATATAGTAAATTGATTAGATGTGGGTAATCTGCAGAATAAAAGGACAGCGTTAAGAATTGGGTCAGGGAGCTGAAGTGATGGATCAGTACACTTGCTGCTCTTCCAGAGGACCCAGTTTGGATTCCAAACCCCTACACTGTGATTCACAATCATCCATAACTCCAGTTCCAGGGGATCTGACATCTTCTTCTGACCTCCCTGAGCACTAGGCACACACATGGTGCACATACATATACATACAAATAAGACACACACACACACAGAAAATTAATAAACTTATTAATTAAAAAAATTAAATTAAGAAAATAGTGTCAGTACAAAGACAGACCCTGGCATGTGGCCATCCTCCCTCTCAACAGCCCTCTCTCAAATAGGGTTGGGGTGCCTGTCAAGTTGGTACCCCCTTTTGTCCTAAGGCACAATTGCCAATTACCTTGTAGATGAGAATAAAGGTCCCTAGAAATTAGTTCTTGTAACTGAGGTGGACTCCACCCAGACCTGGGAGAGAGGAAAATGGGAACCCTATCTGGTCGCTGGTATTTTTAGGCAAAGATCCCCCAGAGACTTGACCGATAGATATGAGTAATGAATGTTCTCTAGTGTATAGATGTTAAAGGCTTTTTGCACTCAGGGCCCTTTCTAGCCTAGAGTGGTGCTGTATCTATGACATATTAAGGTTGGAAGAGTTTGGGAATAGTGGCCCAGCTCCACCAAGGCCATGCTAAGTCAGTCCTTGTCTGTGCCCCTTTTGGGAATTGATGAAGGCCTGATAGCTTGTCTTATTTCTTTCCTGGGAAGACTAGACAGGATCTCTTAGGATCCACTGTGAATAACCAGGGGTTCAGCAAGAATGAGATCGGGGAGAAAATTTGAATTTCAGGGCTTCTAAGACTAGAATAAATGTGTCTTGAGGTTTTACTTGTGTGCCCACTGGCCGTGCAAAGTACCCAAGATGGAATTCTTCTAACCTTCAGTTTTGGAAGCTCATTTCTTCCTTTAGAGCTCTATCCCTAACCCTGTGGTATCATCTCAGTATTTCATACACTTGCATCCACACTACTCTGCATCTAACCCCTGCCCGGTCTTTGCCGGGATGCATTTTAAGCTCTCCGGCATGTGCAGCTGTCCCGATAGCGATGTGTGTGTTTACTCCATATGACTGTTTTTCCTACCTACTAATATATTTTTTACAGATCTTTGTCTCTAAAGATTTCACAGCCGCTTTACTCATTGTCTGGTTTTATGAACAAAGACTTACAGAGGAGCGAGCAAGCCCTGCAAGCTCCCCTTCAGGGTGAGGAAAGAGGTGTGTGGGAGTATCGCTTTGTGGTGAATGCGGGAGACCTGTCTCCTAGTTGAAGGAATATTCGAGGCCTGTGCCCTGCTCCCCTGTCCTGCACCCAGGTCTGAGCCCTGGGGGTGTTCTGCCTGGCTCTGTAGGGAGAACTGAGTGGGGTTAGAGCAGAATGTTGCAGCAGCCTGATCCCCACAGCTGCAGCATCCCCTGCATTGGGCCTCTCGGGGATGAGGCTCCATGGTGACCATCTGCCATTGTCTTCCCTGCCCTGCTCTGGGGAGGGCTGAGAATGGGGCCTGCCCCCTTTCAGCCGTGCAGCTTTAGGGCAGGATGGGGTGGAGGGCACGCCATCCGTGGCCCGTTGCCGGGGTGACCAGTATGTGGGCATTGTGAGCAACTCCTCTGACAGGATTAGGGCTATTCCACATTCTTGTCAGATGGGGAGCACAAGCCGAAAGAGCCTGGTGTCCTGAGAGCAGAAGCCATTGTCTACCTCCAGAGCCTGTGAAAGGGTGGATTAGAGGCCCCACCCCTTGAGCTGGGGTTTCCTTTCTGTCTCCTTTTGAATCCAGAGGGGAGGCCAGCCCTCCTGGGAAATTGAATGAGGAGCTGTTTACCTCAGTCTGGGCCTTCATATTTCTCATTTCGTGTGTGAAGAGGAAGTCTTGTGTTCACCATTCTGTTGGTGTCCTTGGCCAGAACTTGCCAGGAACTGACTGGTCTGGGACACCCAACACTCACCCAGACTCTGAGGGCCCCTGGCCTTTATCCAACTCTCTTCACAGACTCAGCGCAGCGAAGCCCCTCAGACTACTTAGTTCAGCCCGTGCATTTCACAGAAAGGCAACTGAAACTCTGAGAGGGTTGGGGCTCGCCCAAAGCCACCAGGACAGAGCCTGAGAATCAGGCACACAGGGTCCCAGCCCCGTGGTTTCCCATTAGTCACTCTGACTGTGCCTTGCCCTAGAGCCACTACTGAGTGCCAAGGGCCAGGGAGACCGAGGCTCTTAGGTGTTGAGCTGCAGCGCCTTCGTTTCCTCTGTACCCACCCTTCCTGAAGCCACCACACACCAGCTGGAGGGGTTAATCATTGTGTCCCACCTTTCCAGAGTAAGACACCAAATCCCAGATGACCATCTATCGAGTTGTTTACTTGTTGGGAAGGAAGGGACATTCCTTACCTGGACTTCAAAGACTGATCTGTGGAGGGTAGTTCCTTTGTGTGTTTGTGTGTGTGTGCTTTTTTGGTGATCTGTATAAAATTTTCCATTTTAACTATTTTTATGTGTGTAACTCACTAGCATATTGAATATATCCACAATATTGTTAAACATCATAATATAAAATAGCTTTCTTTAATTTTTTTTAATGTAATGTGTATGGGTGTCTGCTCTGGATGGAATGTGTATGGGTGTCTACTCTGGATGTGTGTTTGTGCATCTGCAGAGGGCATCTGGTCCCTTGGGACTAGAATTACAGACAGTTGTGAGCTGCATATGAGTGCTGGGAAGCAAATGCACATCCTTTGGAAGAGCAGCCAGTGCTCTTAGCTACTGAGACGTTGCTCCAGCTCCCTAAAATCTTTATCATCCCAAATAGGAGCTCTGTGCACATTAAATAATAACCCCCCATGCCACTCTTTAGCCCTATACTCCTGGTAACTTTTGATCTATTTTCTGTCTGTACAGTTGTTTGTTGTAGGACCTCATAAAAGTGGCCCACACAATATTTGTCACTCTGTGCGACTAACATTTCCCTGAGTATGTTTTCATGGTTCAGCCATCTTATAGGAGGTATCGGAATTTCATTCCTTTTTCTGACTGATTAATATCAAATTTTGTCTATCCATTCGTCTGTTGATTGGCATTTGGGTTGTTAAAATTTTTGGCTAGCGCTTGGTTGTTTATAGCAAGTTGGAGTGTGGGACAGAAAAAGGACTAAACTCAGAACCAGGTTGCCAGTTGTGCTAGGCCGAGGCTATGACTTTAAGGAAAGCATTTAGCCTCTTGGGTTTCCAAGTTCTTCACCTGTTTATAAAAATAATCTAATTCCCAGAGTTGTGAGGACCAATTTATTTACTAATGCAGTAAGTCGCCATTCACTTTCTGATGTGTCTAGGTCCTCTGTCTGGTATCAAGCTCCCAGTACTGAGTAAATCACCCCAGGTCCTTGTCTTTGGGGTGCACTGTGCAGATTCGACTTGTGAATTCTGAAGTATCAAACCTCACGGGTATAGGTTGTTATGTTTCTTATTCATTGGTAGAGTTTGACAATGAGGCCATTGGTCAGTGCTGCTTCCTTTGGGTGGACTGCAGTGGGCCCACATGAGGAGCTTTTTCTAGACAGAGCCATCTCCAGAGTCACCTGCCCTGGTAAAGGTGGTGGCTTCCCTTGGTACATTCTGTGGTTTGTGCTGCAGCTGCAGGCCGAGTACCAGGGTCAGGGCTCATGGAGCATCCTCAGGGACGCCTGTACCTTTCTCCTTATTCTCAGGCATCTTCTTTTCCCAGGTGGCCATCAAGTCGATCCGGAAAGACAAAATCAAAGATGAGCAGGATCTGTTGCACATAAGGAGGGAGATTGAGATCATGTCATCGCTCAACCATCCGCACATCATTGCCATCCATGAAGGTATGGCAGTGGGACATTTGGAACTGGAAGCCATAAATCTGTGCACGCACGTGTGTGTGTGTGCGTGTGTGTGTGTGTGTGTGTGTGTGTGTGTGTGTGTAAAAGTCAAAACGGCCAACACAAAGAAATAAACATGAGCCCAGCAGCCCCGGAGACCCGAGACAGAAGGAATATAAGTTTGAATCCTGTCTAAGCTGCATAACAAAACCCTGCCTTTAAATAAATACATAACTTGAACAAATAAAGTTCTTTTAAAAAAGAAGAAGTAAGAATGATAAAGGCTTAGCGTTGCAGAAGCTGATTCAGAACCCTGTCAGATGACACAGAGCACCCAGTAAGAACTGGGCCTTCGTTCCTCTTTTCCAAAATGGTATAGTCCCATTTACATCACAGGGTGGTTGCAAAAACCCAGCTGGCTAGTATCATTGAGTGCTCTGCAAGTGGAAAAGCTGTAGGTCTGTTTGTATTTGTCACATGACTGGGGTCCTATCTACAATCCCGTACTTGCTAGGTAAATGCTGTAAATTGAGCTGCATCCTCATCGCAGACTACAAGCCTTTCATCCTCATTATTGAGGTTTTTCTGTACTAGCACCGCCTCCCAACCCCATAAGATCCTCAGCAACCCAGGGGAAGCTGAAATGCCAGAGTCTGCCCCTGTCTCGGGTATGTAGGTGCTGTTCATCGTTCATCTGTTAGCCAGGCTTCCTAAAGTCATCCTGTGCCCCTGAATCACTCCTGCCATGGGCTTACTCTGCCTCTTCTTGTCTCTCTTGGCCTCCTCCCCTCTGACATCAGTTCTGACTTGATCACTCTGGCTGCCTTTCTCCCTGTGGCCCAGACAACAAAGTGAGCAGGAGGAGAGGGTGACGAGGGTAAAAGGGAGAACACCCTCCCACGTACACCTGTCTGCTTCAACGTAATGTCAGCTAAAGGGGATCACAGGGACAGCGGGAGGAGGCAGGGGAGGAAGAGAGCCTGCGGATTTGTCTAGAGCGTTTCTCTGTCTGAGGACTCCTGGTGGGAAGCACAGAGATGTCTCCACTCTCGGGTTCATGGGAAGATAAAGGGCAAAGCTATTGTTATGACCCTGTGGCTTGAGCTTGTCCCATGAGGAACCCAGACAAGTGGCTGAGAAGGCACGCTTGGTGATTGGCAGTGTGTGCCTGCGTGCCCTCACATGCATGAATCTGGGCGAATATAAATTCTCTCCATCTCTCCATACCCAGTTTCTATTTGAGTCTGAGAACTGAGGTGATGCTCAGGGTATGTGTGTGCATGTGTGTGTGTATCTGTGTGTGTGTGTGTGTGTATCTGTGTGTGTGTGTCTGTGTATCTGTGTGTGTCTATATCTGTGTATCAGTGTGTGTGTGTTTGTATCTGTGTGTGTGTCTGTATATCTGTGTTTCTGTGTGTGTGTGTCTGTGTATCTGTGTGTATCTGTATATCTGTGTATCTGTGTGTGTCTGTGTGTATGTGTCTGTATCTGTGTGTGTATGTATGTCTGTGTATCTGTGTGTCTGTGTATCTGTGCGTGCGTGTGTGTCTGTATGTCTGTGTACCTGTGTGTATGTGTCTGTGTATCTGTGTGTGTACGTGTGTTAATAGTGCAGACACAGGACATTACTGTTTATGGGTGTCTGAAGGGTTCCTCTAGATTCATCTTCATTTTGGACTTTAGGTACTTGGGGCTAAGGAAATGCTGAGGCTTAACTTCTAATCTAAATGTACCCCCAAAATGCACCGTGTTGGCTTTTTGTCTTTGTTTCCTAGCATAAAGATTGTTTATAAACTGAGATTCACATGTGTGGAATCTCGGTCAAGAGCCCCTAAGAGCCTGGGTCATCATGTTCACTTGGAAAATGTCATTATAAGCCTTCTTCTGGCTTTGTAGCTGACATCTGGGACTGGGGACTCATCCCTTAGCTGCTTCTCAGAGGCTAGACAGCAACAGCTCTGGGGCTGGCCAAGCAAGCCAGACTCATAGGATCCGTTTAACACAGATGCAGTGTCATAGGCCAGTGTGTTCTGACATACCAGCTGAAGGGCCAGTTCCACAAGCCAGTTCCTTTCTGCTTTCTAGAGGACCGGAGCCAGGTCACAGCCTGGAGTGGTGAGACAGCCCTTCCTCCACACGGAGATGGGCTAACTGGGGTGGGCTGACCGCCAAAAGCCAGACAGCCAATTAATTACCCCGTATTTATTGACTGCCTCTGTGTCTGAGGCCATATGAACCCTGACTCTAGCCTGGGTACTCCAAATGGGAAGTCAGAGGTGGCAGGAGTGAGGACTGTCTCAACCCTCCCTGTCACAAGACAGGTCTGTTGTTAGACTTTACGTGAGGATGCTGAATACTGCAATAGGTCCCACTTTCTGAGCACTTTCTCGTGTCAGAGCCTGTGCCAGCAGGAGCTGTCACTGATTTCTTACCTGTTTCCCACCGCAGACCTGTGAGGTTGCTGGTATTTATCATCTGCTCTCAAGGGAGGAAACTAAGGCACAGTGGTGTGACCGTTTGTAAGATTCACCCAGTAACTCTGCATGCTCACTAGTAGGGGTCTAGTAGGGATTTGACCAAGGCCATAAGATGAAGGAGTATAGGGTCTGGATCAAAGAGCCCTGCTTTTTATCCCTAGCCGTGCTGGCTTCTCTCTCCTGGGAGTTTGCAGAGTCCTCAAAAGCTGATTTGCTGGTCCTAGGAGATGCAGCCCCTGGAGTAGACATTCCAGAGGGAGGTCCTATCTGGTTCGAGGCTATGGAAGAGACTATGGTCCACGGTGGGATAGTGTTCTCTGGGAGGCCTGACATTGTCATTTGCCCTCTCCAGTGTTTGAGAACAGCAGCAAGATCGTGATTGTCATGGAGTACGCCAGCCGGGGTGATCTGTATGATTACATCAGTGAGCGGCCACGGCTGAGTGAGCGGGACGCCAGGCATTTCTTCCGGCAGATCGTCTCTGCCCTGCACTACTGCCACCAGGTAAGTGCCCACCGATCTCAGTTGTGTTTGGGGGAAGAGGGTGCCTCTGGGGCTCTAAGGCTTCTGGACTCTGAGACCAAGGGATGCTAGCACACGGGAGGGCCTATGATTCCTTGGACTATGTCAGCAAATTTCTGAATACCAGTCTGCCTGTGCTCAACTCTATTAATTCCAATTTTCAGACTAGGTTCCTTGTCTCCCTTCCCTTTCCTGGTAACATTCCCTGACTGGGTTCCCTTTCTCTTTTAGAATGGGATTGTTCACCGTGATCTCAAGCTGGAGAACATCCTTCTAGATGCCAATGGAAATATTAAGGTGAGCATCACTCCTGGTTTCTAGAAGCTTCCATGTCCCATCCTAGGTTTTCTGTTCTGTCTCCAGTCAAGTGGCTCTAAGTGCTCAGGGGTCCCTGAAGTTAAGCCAACCCTGGACCTCAGTCATCATTCATCCCAACACTTCCTTTATGGACGGGGCACTGAGCCCCCAAGAGGAAGATCCCCTCCACTACTGACTGGCGAAGGTTAGTTAGGCAGGACTCAAAACAAGGCCTCTGCCTTTCAGGCCGGTGTCTTTTTGATGTCACAAGAGTAGCAAGGGTCTAGTCTAGGGTCAATTTTTACTCGTAACTTTGGGACCAACAGGTACTGAGCTCCGTTCCCTTTGCTGGTGTGGTCGTACACGAACCTGTACACAATTTAGTCTGCTACAGACAAGAAGCCCTGTAACTTCTTCCTCGTCAGCATCACTTTCAGTTTCCCACAACCACTGGACGCTCATGCTGAAGCAGCTCGATTTGTCAGTCAGAGGTTCAGGTCAGGGAGATAACCCAGAATCTCAAGACTGGAAGGGAAAGATGGCAAGAGCTGATTTTGGTGACAGGTTAGCCCAGCCAAGAACTGGGAGAGTGACATAATCTGACCCTGCTCGGAATCTACTCGACACAGGACAAAGGTCACTCCATGACTGCTGACCTGCGTGTCCTGAGATATCCTGGTACGAAGTCTGTAACCCTTATCCAGCCAGTTCCCGAAGCAGGCAGGGTTTTTCTGATGCTGACAGGAGAGGGAGGCCAGAGCCAGTAAACACACACAGACTAGACAAGCGCACAGAATCTGTTGGTACCAATCATCAACGTCATTATAGGCTCACCTGGCAACGGCTTGATAAGACGCCAATAAAGCTATAAACAAGGGAGCCAGGGTTTTACAAATAGGCTTCCCCACCCTGCACACATGATCCTTTGATGGGGTGAAGGGTCAGGTAGCTCCAGGGTCTTGGCCTCCACCTCTAGCTGAGATAGGTCAAGGATGATCTTAGAAACTCTCAGACCCCTAAAATCAAACATCTCAGGGACCATTTGAGAAGATTCCATCTCCTGTGTGTGGACAGCCCTGACCTTTGTCCTCTCCTCGCCTCTCCCCCTTGGCCATGCATGTCCACCCTGAGTTCCTGTTCAGGTATGAGCAGAGATGAGACCTTTGCTCAGAAGGGCAGCTCAGACTTCACATGGTCACTGGGTCAGGGCCCTTACTTGACTATTGAAGGCCTTAGGGCACTGTCTTTCAGAACCTGAGCTATGAGATGTGGGTTGGGAGTGTCTTTCCTTCTGTCAGGGCTTGGCTTTCCCCAGGATCTGGAGAGAGGATGGCCAAGAGCCATGAACAACCCAACCTTTGGCATGACCTGTGCTTGTCCCAACCCTGTAGATTGCTGATTTTGGCCTCTCCAACCTGTACCACAAAGGCAAGTTCCTGCAGACATTCTGTGGGAGCCCACTCTATGCCTCACCTGAGATCATTAACGGGAAGCCCTATGTGGGCCCAGAGGTAAGAGCTCTCCTCCTGCCAGTATCCCTGAGTCTGGGTCATGCAGATTGACCTAGTTTGCTAGGTATGTCTCCTTTTCCAGAGCACAAAGCTCAGGCCCCTACAAGGCGACGATTTGCCAAGCCTTGAGGCAGAAGTAGAGAGCTGTCATAGAACTGAGGCCCCGTGGCATCCCGTCTCCTTCTTGTCCCCTGGTTCTCATCACCTCCTGGCACTCAGTCCAGCCACCTCACCTTGACCCAGAATGATGCCAATGGCCTGGCCACTGCTCCCATGCTTGTGGCTGTTCCCCCAGGGGAAGTGACTGCCAGCATCTTTTCTTACGACACCCTGATCCCTCTGCTGCTTCCCCTACATCACCTCTGGTTACAAGGGGAAGTAAGAGGAAGTCTTCAGATATGACCTCCCCTCTTCCGTTGTGTTGGAGATATGGACGGCAGCCCCCCTCCAGTCTGTGGCACATGCTGTGCCTTTGCTGAGCGTGCCCTGCCCTCTCTTTCAGGTGGACAGCTGGTCTCTGGGAGTTCTCCTATACATTCTGGTGCATGGCACCATGCCCTTTGATGGGCAGGATCATAAAACACTGGTGAGACAGATCAGCAGCGGGACTTACCGTGAACCCCCCAAGCCGTCAGGTGAGAACTGTGGTCAGGCTGGGGGACGTGGGGTACATGTCACTGTCCTTGATTGCTGAGACAGCGACCAGACCATGGTGATAAGGAAGGTAGCCGTCCGCAGTGACTCAGGGAAGATAAGGATGCACCCTACTGGTCTCTCCCAGCCTGAGACCTCTGAGGCAGGGGGCAGCTCTCTTCATTAGAAGCTTGCTTTAGAAGGACTTTCTAAGGTCCAGCTTAACCCCCCTTGCTATAGTTGTGTTGCTTCCTATTGCCTTTTGCCTCCTGCTAAGAAATCTGAGCTTTCACATATGGTACAGAGAGCAGGAAGATGTATATGAGAACCTTGCTTTATCCATGAGCACAGTCCCTGTCAGAGAATTGAATTTCAGCAGAGAAGGAGCGTACCGATGTAGAAACCAGGGCTGATAAAGAGAGCTTGTGGGACAGAGGCAATTGACTGAGTCTGTCTGGCCTAGTGAGTGGGCCTGAAGCTGTATGGAGCCTGAGGAAGGAATGTACTGATCTAACCCAGAAACAGGAGCAGTGTCTGCACTTGAGTGAGACAGGCCTGTGCTAGAGGACCTTGGGTGCCCTTCTTACACTGTCAAACTGAAGCCCTTGCCTTTGTTTTTCAGATGCCTGTGGCCTGATCCGGTGGCTGTTAATGGTGAACCCCACCCGTCGGGCCACACTGGAGGATGTAGCCAGTCACTGGTGGGTCAACTGGGGCTACCCTACCAGAGTTGGGGAACAGGAAGCCCAACAGGGTGGGCACCCTGGTGGCGACTCTGGCCGGGCCTCCATGGCCGACTGGCTCCGACGCTCCTCTCGTCCCCTCCTGGAGAACGGGGCCAAGGTGTGCAGCTTCTTCAAACAGCATGTACCAGGAGGTGGAAGCACTGGACCTGGGCTGGAACGACAGCATTCTCTTAAGAAGTCCCGGAAAGAGAATGACATGGCTCAGACCCTGCAGGGCGACCCAGCTGAGGACACCTCCCCTCGCCCTGGCAAGAGCAGCCTCAAGCTACCAAAAAGCATTCTCAAGAAAAAGGCCTCTACCTCCTCAGGGGCGGTCCAGGAGGACCCTCAGGAACTCAGCCCAGTACCCGATACCCCAGGACAGCCTGTCCCTGCTGTGGCCCTACTCCCGAGAAAGGGCATCCTCAAGAAGTCTCGGCAGCGTGAGTCCGGTTACTATTCCTCTCCAGAGCCCAGTGAGTCTGGGGAACTCTTAGATGCCGGTGATGTGTTTATGAATGGGGACCCCGTGGAGCAGAAGTCGCCACAAGCTTCAGGGCACCTCCTCCACCGAAAGGGCATTCTCAAACTCAATGGCAAGTTCTCACGCACAGCCCTGGAAGGCACCACTCCTAGCACCTTTGGCTCCCTGGACCAATTGGCCTCCCCTCACCCTGCAGCGCGGGCCAGCCGCCCCTCAGGGGCCGTGAGTGAGGACAGCATCCTATCCTCCGAGTCCTTTGACCAGTTGGACTTACCTGAGCGGCTCCCTGAAACCCCACTGCGGGGCTGTGTGTCTGTGGACAACCTGAGGGGGCTTGAGCAGCCACCCTCGGAAGGCCTGAGGCGGTGGTGGCAGGAGCCCCTGGGGGATAGCTGCTTTTCTCTGACAGACTGCCAAGAGGTGACAGCAGCCTACCGACAAGCCCTAGGCATTTGCTCAAAGCTCAGCTGAAGAGGAGAGGCAGCGCCCCAGTTGGGGTGGGTTCAGAGAGGGTTTGCAGATGGCTCCTGAGGAAATGGGGGAGGGAGTAGAAAAGTTCATCCAGGCCTCCAAGTCTTCAGCCTGATGAACCAGAAAGTTGAGGAGGGCAATGGTACCCATGCAGGAGGGACTGAGAAGAACTCACAGATTCCAGGCTGCCGGGATGTTGTAGTGGGGCCTCAGAGACCTGATGCGCACTCACTCAGCCAGTGCCTACCTCCGCTATGCCATGAGTGTTACCCACCTCTCTGGCTGCCTGTGTCGTGGTGCATCTTCACACAAGGTCCTGTTCCCGCCAACCACCAGAGTTACAACCCTGATATGCCTGGGGGTAATCTGGAGTAACCTTTCCTCTTTTACTTAAAGAGGAAGCAGCCTCTGGTTCTCGTCTTCCAAACCCAAGCCTTCCAGAGTCTGTCGCTGCTGTGGATCTCAGAGACCTGAAAAGACTCTGGCTGCTGTTTGACTTCATCTCAAGGGGTCCAGATGCCTCTGGATCCCACCTCAGACCTCAAAGACTTGAGCTTCTGCCTTGAAGCTGCTTGATATCTAGACTATGGGTGGATGTGTCCATTTCTCAGGCTAACAGGACCTAGAATGTGATTTATTTATTTATTTTTGGTTCTCAATTTTATTTTATTTTATTTTTTGTTTATTTTTGAAGTGGATTTTGCTGCTTTCAGGAACGTGAATGCTGTGTTCTGGGGAAACCACTGGGCCACTGAACTTCATGTGCAGAAGTATTTGGCAGTGATGTCCCTCTAAGGGGTGGGAGGGGGCAGGGCTGGCATTTTCAAACTTAGGTCCCGAGCACTGGATTGGCTGTCTGGTCCCTTCACACCCTAGGCTGTCCACCCTTCCTCATCTGTGGCCAAATAAACCTCAATCCATTAAACCAGCATGGTGACTGGACAATCTCTCTTTGGGGACCTGGCTTCACATCTTTGCATCTTCTTATTCTCTTGGGCTGCCATAGGTGTGACACAGACTTTGATCCAAACAGAACAAAGGAGTTTGGAGGTGTGTCTGGGTAGTCAGAGTGTTGTTTAATGTGTACTCTCAATCCCTAGCAAAAGAATAAAATAAGACACACACACATACACAAACAAAAAAACAAAACAAAACAAAACAAAAAACAACCCTCTCCAAAGCACCTAGTCCACCCGCAGCAGGCGCTTGGGCCTGACCCTACTAAGCATTCTGGAAGAATAGCCACGGTCCAGGGTCCCGAATTCTCTTCTTTCCCAGGACTCAAAGAAAAAATGGGTCAGGTAGATTTGTCAGGCTGATTCCCTTCCCCAGCCCCCTTCAGTCTTGCGCCCCCCCCCCCCCCTTGGCCTGTGCCCTGCCCCCTGCTGCCTGAAGACTCTCCCACGGCTTTTATTCCCTCTGAAGAAATTCCCTTTCCTCCTGCGCTGGACGGCTCCTTGCCCGGTTCCGCTCCTCACTCTGGGAGGACGTGAAGAATGCTTGGAATGTGCCCCCTCCCTGGACAGCCCCTCGGCCCCCTGCAGAGCAGTCCCAGCGGCCTGTTCCATTGAGACACTGCTGGACTTCGGGACTGGTGGAGAGGGAGGACAGAGGACAAAGTGCAGGCGAGCAGCTGGTTGGCTTCGGTTCCAAGCCGGCCCTCTCCCCACCCCCAACCCCTGACCTCCTCTGGTATTCACCCCCTAGTCTTCCAGTTCTGGCTGGCTCCAGTTTTCCACTAGACAACCCACCTGTCCTCCCAGATGAAGACTGCGCCTCCCTCGTTATACCTAAAGAAAGGTGACAGTTGGGGAACAGCGCGGGCTGGTCTATTGTGGGGTTAAGATAGAACAGTACACACACACACACACACACACACACACACACAAATAGCTTGAGTGACAGCAGATGTGCCTGAGGTCCCAGGACTGGGCTAGGCTTGAGTAAACACCAGAAAAACACAGGCTGCACCTTCGTCCCCAAGAAGGGGACGTCCCACAGTGGCGTGTTGCAGTGCCGCTTGTTTCTGTCCTGCAGCAAGCCCTGGGTGTGCTGTGAGCTGAAGTGCGACAGACAACTTGGGTTGTGGTCAGGCTGGGGACAGGCAGTACGCAGGGGCACAGAAGAATTAAACTCAGTGAAAATTGTTCAGGAAACGTTGATGGGAAGTTTAGATAAGGGAAAGAAGTGTACCCTGGGAGGGTACCGTTTACTTTATTTATTTGGTTTTGATGTTTGGGAGCAAGCTTGGAGCTATGTTAGGCAAACATTCTATCACTAAGCTGCAAGCCCCAATTCTTGTTTATTTGTGATAAGGTCTCAGCGTGACTCCTTCTCCTCCTGCTGAGCCAGTACCAGCATCCCAGCCTTGGAGCCCCTTCCTGTGTCAGGTCCTCCATGCAGCGGCCAGCTTCCATGCTCTCTCTCGATAGCTTTGTTACATCCTTGTGGGTCTGGTGCTATTACTCACATGTTGCGGAAGAGACAGACATTTGAAACATTAGTGTACGTCATCAGAACAGAAACTTCAACCCTAGATCTGTGAAGTCACACCTTGGGGGACAGGGAGCTTGAGTGGCTGCTCTATGACACATACCAGGGAGCATCCGTTATGTGCTGTGCTCTTGGTGAGGCACAAGATCTGAAGAAAGTTCCTGTCCTGGAAATACCTTCCCTTGGTCTCCACTAGGCCCAGGTGGCAAATGGGAAAGATGAGGCAAGGGGCAGAAGGAAAGCGGGAGACCACGGAGAAAGCTGTGTTGTGGGGTGAGGCCCAGAATGGGCACAGCATCTCACCATCCTGGTAGGCTTCTGGGTGATGGGGAGCTTCGGCTTCCTGTGGTCTGCTTAATTCCCTGGGAGCCAGGTCGTGGATAGGATGAAAGGGTGAATGTGGAGAGCCCCCCCCAAAATCTAGACCTGGGCTGTGGATTCCATCTACACAGACCTTCCCCTCACCTGCCGGGACACTTCATACCAAAAACATTCCAGAAAGCAGGCTCAGCGATGACGCCGGGCCCCGGGGGACGAGGCTGGAGCTGCAGGAATATTTAGTGCCACATCAGTGCTTCCGGAATGTGAGCAACTTAGACAAGGATGGGGGAGGCGGCTCGAGGAGATCACAAAGGCCTTCTGAATGCTCCCTGTCCCTGGCCTCTTCCTGAGGCGCAGGCAGGATTGTTATGTTCCTGAGTGGATATCCCCTCGTGGGGCAGGGTCGTGGAAGGGAAACTCCCATGACACATTGGCCTGGCTCCCTGGCTCAAGACCCAGATGACACTTGGGTCTCCCTCTGTCCTGGCCGACTAGCTGCCTTGGGCCCTCTCAAAGGGGGAAATTAAGGGAAAACAGTAGAGCTAGCTGGGTAGGGAGCCGCAGACCCCGCTCGCCCGGAAGAACATAGGCAGCCTTTGGCTCTGGGAGTGAGAACCTGAACTCTATCGGCCAGATTGTTTCACGGAGGAACAAGATGGATCAAAGACAAAGATTTGGCTGACTGGCAGGAGCATTTCTTAAAGCAGCAGAGGAGAAGTGTTAGGAACCGCAGAACAGATGGCAGGCAGGCTGACTTCCTGGAAGTGAGGCTGGAGGTACAGGCTATAATGGGGAGCAGGGGCAGGGCCAAAGCTGACCTCTGAGCCTCCGAATGCAAGCTTTAGCTTAATAATCTCTTATATAGTGCGTCCCAGTCGCTAAGCCTTTTCATCAATTACCAAGTAGTTATTGGAACTGGACTTATAGATCAGTCATATAACAATGGGCAAGGCCTTAGGTTCCATCCCCAGAACCACAACAACCCCCCCCCCCCCAAGCTCTGTTTTTCAATTTATTAAGGGCCTTCTAATATATTTGTGCTTTTTTGTTTTTGTTTCTGAAACAGGGTCTGTCTGTAGCCCAGGTTAGCCTGGTCCACAGAGCAATTCTCCACCATTCCTAGCATTAGGGATACATTTATGAACAAAACTGACAAAAGAAATCTATGCCCTCATGGAACTACGTTTCAAACAGCCAGTAAAGCGGGAATAGAGTGAATGAAAGATTAGCAGGGAGGGGAATCAAGAGAAGCCGCAGGAGGAAAAGCCATGGCACCGGTGGGTCATTCGGAGGCTGTGGCTTTTATTCTGGGGGAAACAGAGAATCCTTGGGAGGCGCTGGGCAAAAGACTGAAATGACCTAACAGACTTTTTTTTTTTTCAAGAGTCTTTTTAGCAGGCAAGATTACTTAAGAAATTAAAGACATTTGCCACCGAGCCAGACTGCTGCGTAGGATCCCCAAGCGTCTACACGGTAGAAAGGAGAGGAATGACTCTCACAAGTTGTCCTTTGACCTCCACATATGAACACACACACACACACACACACACACACACACACACACACACACATCAATAAAAATAGATAAAAGAGTTTAGCTGCTTGCTGAGACCAGCGGTGGAAGACTTGATGGGGACCTAGCAGGAGGCCAGTTTAGAGGAGATGGGGGAGCTTGGACTGGAGTTGCAGCAATACAGAAATGGGAAGCCATCCCATTTGGTGGCATAATCTGAAGGGGAAATGGACAAGCCTTTCCTGACAGAGGACGCCCAGGATGTGACAGAGAGGAGCCAAGAGTAAGGGCAGACCATCCTTGTGCAGGGAAGGCTGGGGGGGGGGGGACACACGGGACCTGGGATGAGGTGGGGCGTGTGGACCACTCAGCTCAGGAGCTAAGAAAGTAGGCAGATCTTTCCGAAGATAAGCTGCCTCCCAGGCTGCTGATTCTGGGGAGGCCTGCAGAGCTGCAGACACAGGTGACATCAGCATTCTTCCAATAAACCTTGTAAGGTTCTCTCTTTTCTCTTCTCTCTCCTCCCCTCTCTCCCCTCCTCCCTGTCTCCCTCTCCCCCCTTCCTTCCCCCCCCCCCCCCCCCCCCCCCCCCCCCCCCCCCTCTCTGAAGGACAGGAGGACTTTCTCACACTCAAGCCTAAAATCCCACATTTTCAAAGGATTTTATGAATTCCTTAAGAACTTTGGAAATGTCGCCCTGGCTCTGCCTGGGGGTCCCAAGGGACATTGGGTCCTAAAGTGGGGTCAGGTGCTGCTGCACAGAGGCTGGGACTGAATACTATCAGATCATCTTTGGTCTCCTCTCTGCTTCAGGATTCTCTGTTTCGGGCCCCTGGGGAGGCTGCTCATAGCCTGCTGCCCGGACAAGGACTGAAGAGGGGCATGACTCTGGTCCTGCTGACAAGGTTGACAAACGCTCGCTTGAGGGCCTCTGGAGGAACCAGAGCCTCCCTCTCTGGGACACAAGCTTTCTCTATCTCCTTTTGGATCTGAACACCTCCTCGGTCTTCCTTCTCCTAAATCCTGCTTCCCTTCCTGGGCTATTCCCACCTCAAAATTCTTCTCATCCTGTCTGAGGCATTTAGGACAAGCCAGGAAAATGAGTCATCTTAATGGAGGAGGGGCTTCTAGTCCATAAATGGACATCAACTCTTTAGTTTTACTCTTCAAAAAGGGCAGTCTTGGCCTCTGCTCTCTCCCTGCCAGGGATTTCCTGGGAAGAGGAAGGAGGCCGCTGGCCCTGGCGGGATGGGATTCTAGAAATAGCAGAGCATTTTAGAAGATCGACCGGTCTGATTCAGCTTCCCTTGTAAACACACGTGGTTAGCCAGGGTTTTCCCAGCTCCAGAGGCTAAGCCCCCATTTCCTGATAGAAGCGCTCAATTGTGTATGTCTGTGGAGGTCAGGATCCAGTCAGCAGAATTCCTATCCCGCCTCCCACCTCCTCATCTCTCTCTTGACTGCTCTCCCCTGGACTCTGGGCTGTGTGTGGGTGCTTAGCTCCAGCAGTGGAGCTGACCACAGAAGCTCCACTCAGACGGAGGGGGCAGTCATCCTTCAAAGCTCCCGGGCTGGAGTGTGAACCCAGCTCAGGCTGGGACT